TGTGTGTATATATATATATATATATATATATATATATATATATATATATATATATATATATATATATATATATATATATATATATATATATATATATATATATATATATATATGTATATATGTATGTATGTATATGTATGTATGTATGTATGTATGTGTGTGTGTATGTATGTATATATATATATATATATATATATATATATATATATATATATATATATATATATATATATATATATATATATATATATATATATATATACAGTCATGCACGGTAACGTCAACCGAACAACGTCCGATCGCATATACGTCTGTGCCCCTTCCCACCTGCCCCACAAAAAAAAAAAAACACTTCTGTGGCGCCTGCTGGACCACCACTCCACGGCCCCTGGCAGAACATGATCCTTTCCATACTGGCCAGATATTATGTGCTAAAGGAATATCCTTCCTTAGGCTTTAGTAAGCATTTGCCTCCAGGTGTAATGTTAACCTACATCTATTGAGGATAAAATCTTTCACTTACAAATTGACATTAACACATTTGCTGTAATCAGACATATCTAGTTGCCTCAACAATTGCAACCCCAGTTGCAATTGGGGTTGCAATTTCAAATTCTGTGTCATTACTAAGGAATAATGAAATCTCTGGTGCACTCTAAGATTAAGAGAGAAAACGGATGACTCAAGCGTCATGAAGCGAGAGAAAACGGACTCCTATGATGGGGGACACAAGCACTCACACGTGCCACTCATACTGACAGACTTGATACTCACTTACTTGACAAGTTTTACCAACCATTAGTTGTGTACGTTATCTTGTGAATTTAGTCAATATTGTACAGTACAAGTACACTGCAATACAGTGGTCCCTCGGTTAACAATGGACCTAAGTGCAAACCTGTACTGTACAGTACTAAATGATTACGGAACTAATATTGTTATGTCTATTGCAAATATAGATTGTTTATACAGGTATTCAAATAAATCACTAACTTACAAGAATCCCAGCAATCTAAGTTATATTCACCCAGGTCGCTAGCTACCTCCCTCCTTGTGTTCCCAGACAAAAGATTGGTGATTTCTTTATGGTTTAAGGTGTTTATGTTATATAATATCTCAGACTAAAGTTAGGATGATATAATTTGCATTGCTGAAATCCTTGCAAGACAGAGATTAATTTAAATATAAACGTCACATTTTTGTTCAAGACATAAAAATTTTAGTACATTAGTGTACAATACTGTAGTACATTTTATAATATAAAGTTTTTCAACTGTATTTTTGGGTAGATTTACATAAATATCTTCATTTATTCTCATCCATTTACATGCACACACCATACTAAAAGAAACGTAAAAGAAATAAATGACCTTAGTGCATGGCTGGAGTGCACATGTACTAATTTGATTACTGTACTAAAATTGTTATGTCTAGTGCGAATTATAGGTTGTTTATACTTAAATTAATCAACATCTTACAAGAATCCCAGCAATGTAAATTATATTCACCCAGCTCATTTCACTGGCTTTTTATAAGAGAGAAGCTTAGTCACTTAAGAACTGATAAATATACACGCGTTAGACCTGGGCCTGTGCCAACTGTTAAACCGCTCCCTCCCGCGCCTCACTCGCTGCTCGCCTCCATCCCTCTCTCCCCATCTGCTCAGCCGTTGGAATCCACAAAACAGTGAATAATTTTAATATAAATGTCATGTATCTTGCACAAGAGATAAAGATTTATCATCTGTATCACATTACAGTAGTGATTTAAGTAAAGTGTATATATATATATATATATATATATATATATATATATATATATATATATATATATATATATATATATATATATATATATATATATATATATATATATATATATATATATATATATATATATATATATATATATATATATATATATATATATTATATATATACAGTCATGCGCTGGTTAACGTCCAACGGAACAACGTCCGATCGCATATACGTCCGTGCCCACCCCCTCCCCCCCCCAAAAAAATATCTGTGACGCCTGCTGGACCACCACTCCACGACCCCCTGACGGAGACACGATGATCCTCCCCATACTGGTCAGATATTATGTGTTAAGGAATATGCTTCCTTGATTAGGCTTTTTTTAAACATTTGCCTGCAGGTGTAATGTTAACCTACATCTATTGAGGATAAAATCTTTCACCCACAAATTGAAAACAAGACATTTGCTGTAATCAGACATGTCTAGTTGCCTCAACAATTGCAACTCCAGTTGCAATTGGGGTTGCAATTTCAAATTCTGTGTCATTACTGCGGAATAAAGAAGTATCAGGTGTACAGCACTCTAGGATTAAGAGAAAACGGACGACTCAGGAGTCCTGAAGTGAGAGAAAACAGACTCCTATGACGGGGCACTCAAATAAAGAGACATGGCTATATGTTTTGTGGACTACCCACTGTACAGTATTTGATGGTATATTTTTCATCACTTTGTAATAAACCTAGTCATGCCTATGTGTGTTTCTGATAATTACCATAACATTATATATTTATATATTTAGTGGTTGTACAAACACAAGGCCTCACACATGCCACTCAGACTGACAGACTTGACAAGTTTTACCAACCATAAAGACAGTTGAAGCTTTAAACATCACTCACATTGGATCTTGAATATTCCAACTGCAATCAGACATATCTAAGTTGCCTCAACAATTGCAACCCCAAATGCAATTTCAAATTCTGTGTCATTACTAAGGAATAAATAAGTCTCTGGTGCACTGCACTCTAAGATTAAGAGAAAACGGACGACTCAGGCGTCCTGAAGTGAGAGAAAACGGACTCCTTTGACAGGGCACTCAAATAAAGAGAGACATAGCTACATGTTTTGTGGACTACCCACTTTACATTATCCTTTTCATCACTTTGTAATAAACCTAGCCATGCCTATGTGTGTTTATGATATTTACCATAACATTATATATATGTATTTAGTGGGTCTAAATGGTTGTAAAATGGGAAACTTGGGGTTGGGTGCCTGGAACCCCCATTAGAATAAATCTGATAGGTTTATGTAATTTCAGACAACGTCCATTTCGGTTAACATCACGTTTCCAAGAACGTATCTAGGACATTAACCGGCGCATGACTGTATATAAATATATACAGTACAGTCGGCCCTTAACATACGCAGGGGTTAGATAACAGAGATACCCGTGAATGTTAAAAATCCGTGTACTATTGCAGCCCCCCCCCCCTAAAAAAAACCCTGACCCCCCATGTCCTTATTTACCGTATATACATGTGTGCAAATCGAGTTTTTAAGACCAAATTATTTGGCAAAAAATGGGGGGTCGACCTCTAAATGGGTAATAGTTTCGTTAGGTTGAAAAATATTTACCAGTTCAGTGATCCCTCGGTTAACAAGCGCCTCAGTTAACAAGATTTCGGTTAACAGATCTAGTTTCAGAGTTAGGAGGAAGGGGAAAATGTGAAGAGTAGAATCATCAGCATAAGAATGGATAGAATTGGTTGTAGTGTGAAATAAATCATTGATAACAGGAAGGAACAAAGTAGGTGAAAGCACAGAACCCTGTGGGACACCACTAAGAGAGAATGTCTCAAAGAACCAGGAAATAAAACAAAAACACTCACAGCAGCCTTAAAGACAGAAATCTCATAAATAACAGTAGGCAACTTCAAGCACAGAAATCTTGCCCAGGAT